ATCTTCAAATCCATAACAAACATCCTTGGTGATCGAAAACCCTGTGTAGACACTACATTTTGTCCGGGCAATTTACTAATTATGTCACCATTTTAAAGGAGTATAAAGCTCGCATTGTTTTGAATGAGCAATAGCAAATCTTAAACATCCTTTGTTTTGAACCTGTATCTTGGTGGCATGTGTCATTATTTTGTCTTTGATTAAACAAAGTTGACTTGGCGCAAGGTTAAACAAGTTTAGCAATAGCAAACTTTTGTCACTTTAATAAAGTTTTTATCCATCAACGTTTGTCTTTGAGAATTTGGACCTTGATTTTGGAATAATTAAGAAAGGACAATAAAGAAAAAGAAATTTTATTAAGATTGTCATTAAAAATAAGTACATTGTAATTACAACCTCATACACTCTCTTCCCTTTAATGACAATAGTAATTATACAAATAAAAGACCAAAGTCCAAGCCCAACAATAAAAAAGGTCAACTCAGCCTAGTCAACTCTAACCAACCAAAATTGGGCCATCAGTAAAAGCTCATATGTTAGGCCCAGCCAAAACCCATATTCACAAGTCTAGTCTCAAACCACAATTCCAGGCCCAAGCACAATATTAAAGCAGACCTACAAGCCAGGCCCAAACGAAAAAAACCAAATCAACTCGGTTTGACTCGAAACGACCTGGTTCGGTCCGACATGACCCGACCGACCAGTTTTTGCTATAAAAGAGCCTCTTGGCTCTGCTTTCTAGGAGGACGGAGAGGGGAGGGAAAGGCTGGGCCAAACAAAATATCTCTTTCTTCTTCTTCTTCGCTGCTTCCTTTTTACAGAGGGACAACTTCCTCTTTCTTTCTTCTTCTTACAGCAGCAAAAAGCTGCAGAAACAGTCTGTCTCATAGAGAAAGACGACTTTTACTTCCTTTTTTAACAAAAATACAGTCCAAATATTACAAAGAGGAGACAAAGAAACTGCAAACACAGTAGAGAGAGGGAACCGTTTCGAGGCTCAAGCTCAGCAAAAGCACAAGTGAAGTTGAGTAGAAGGCTAGAAGCAGACAGTGGGAGAGAAAGCAAAAAGCCACCAGCGTCGCCTAGGCTTATCATGATCCAAGTTAGTATTTCACTAATCACAATAAAACCATTCACCCGATATCTTCATCATATATATCTCTATCAACTCTATTTTCTATGGTTTCTGCAAGATCGACAGTAGAAATATGCAAATCTATACATAAAATAAAGCTGTGCATTTTTTGTCTACAATCTCTAGTTGATGTTTCAGATCCACAAGTAAACTGGTTGTTTGGCGTTTTTTATTAATATGATGCTCATCCAATACCCTTTTCTTTGAGAAATACAAGCTAACTCAGCCAACTTTATTCTATTTGGTTGACTTGTATTGCTTTTTCGACCTATAAAACATCAAAGTCACAGCTTTTGACCAACAAAAACAACAAAAGTCAGGCCAGACCTCCCTCCGATGTTCTTTTAAAGGGATATCTCTTGCTTTACTAAGCCATGTCAACCAAGCGTAATTATGTAACTAAAAGGAGTCTACTCACTTGAAAGATTGGAAAGGGTAATAAAAACATGAAACCAAAACCGATTCGACAAACACAAGTAAAACAGAAATATGCAGAAAAACAAGACTCGATCTTTGGAAGGTATTTTGAAATTCCTCTAATCTAAAGCCCTTCAGTCCCATAAGCAAACATGCATATGCCAGATTTCTAGAGTTAAAACAAAAATTTCCAGAATTACAAACCATCTAAAATCACCTCATAACTATAGCCAAAGCTCAAAACCCATCTCAAATCTCAAGTATTCAGACTTCTCATAAAATTATGGTCACAAGCAATAGTAGTGATCCTAGTTAAACTAGAATCTACATATCATACACAGATTGAAATCTACATATCTTACAAATGACCCACTTTTACTTAAACCTAAAGTCAGATTTTGTTTAGAACCCTTTCTACTAAATCAAACAAAACCAGATCTACTCATACTACTAATTGCTTAAATATATTTTATACTATCCTAACCATAACAGAAGTAAAAAGGGCATCTGACATATTCATGCTCTCTTATCTTTCTCATGTGTTATTATACTGTTTTGTCACTCTCTTTCTTTACATGGCCAAGTTGTTTATGCAAGTTTAATCCAAGCACCCTACATGATCAATGTAATTAATCAACAAACCCACATAAACTAGATTTCCCAGAATCAACCATTACCCTCAACTCGTCAAAACCCCATCCCAAACACAAGATCCCTGAATCATTAAAACTTCTAAACATTGAAGCTAGACCAGATACACGCTAATCCATTTTTACTCCTAACCCAAAATCAACGTAAACCTACCTCACCTGGCTAACAAACAGACAAAAAAGGCTTACCAAAACCAAAGTCAACCTCGTCACTGTTGACGCCGCCGACGAAACATAGATTTATTGGTGGTGGTCTCTTCTTCCTTCACTTGTCTGCCTCTCCTTCTTCTGCCATAAATCAGACCTCAACAAAGAAAATTACAAACTAAAATAAATCGAACCCCAAATCAAAATAAAAAAACACAGCAACCCCAAAATCCAAAGAAAATCAAAATCAAACCCCTTAAAATCGACATGCATGTGATTGAAAATGATCTTACCTCCGTCACCCTCGTTGGTGTCGTCATCGGTGTCGATCGCCGTCTTCCTTTAACTGCTGTCGGCCTTCCCTTCGATCCTTCCCCTCGTTGTTCCTAGAGAAGAACAGAGGGATGACAACTCGAGGAATGGGAGTCATGAGGAGATCGATTGCGAAGAAAGAAGAGGGGATCGAGTGAGAAGAAGAATGGGAGAAGAAAGGTTTGTTTCGTTCTTTCTTTTGTTGGTTCGTCAATTGCAGAGGATGAAAAAGGAGAGGCAGAACGAGTGAAAAAAGGGAGCGGTTAGGTTTGGGTTTACACACCAGGACTCTTAAAATGACCAGAATACCCCTCTAATTTCCATTAAATTACCTGCTGCCACCTTCCTTCTGTTGAAAACAGATACTAAAAAATGTGGCCTTGTTGAGTTTCGAACTTTCGAAGTAGCAGTCAAAATATTCCCTAGTCCACACATATAACCACTAAGCTGGTAGCCTGCCAATTACTTCAAGATTAAACTGTTTTACTTTTAATCTCAAACTACCTTAATACGTAAATCGAATCGAATCGAATGTTATACGATCCTCCGCTAGGTTAATACCAAAAACCTATCTCTTCAAAAATGCTATGATGCTCAACTCCCATTGGAATTATCAACTTTTGAAAGTCATCTTTGCTCGTTTACGTATTTCCCCCTAAGATTCCTTAATACGAAACTAGGGTCAATAGACGGTGGCTTCTTTAGTCAAACTCTTTAACAATTATCAATAAATCGGTTGTTAAAGCAAAAATATCAACTCTCTTCTCAAACATTAACACAATCAATAGAATGTGTTAAATTTAATATTTCAAAAAGTTCCAATTTAATCGAACTACGTGGACTTTGATCCCGACTAAGTCGGGTACGTAGGCAACCAATAGGTTCGAGTCCAACCAATCTAAAAACCCTTTTTTAAGTCAATAGACGTGAAAATTATCAAGTAACTACAACAATTCAGAATTTATGTCCAACTGAACTCTAAAAATACACCCCAGAATTATTAAAATCCTACAATTAAATACACAAATAAATCACAATTAACATTACACCCAACCTCTAAAAACTTATCGGTTTACGTAGTACCCGTTATGGGGCGTTGTGGGGTGTGAATACACTTCCCCACATGTAACCGTACTCCCGAACCTAGAACAATCTAAAATTCGCAGACCAGAATTCTGGTTTTAACAAAAAAAAAAAAAATCGGAAAATGGTGTTCGACCCACCCCAAAGCACGGTCGATGGCGACTCCGGGCAGTTCGCGACAGATCCCCCGATCGCGAGGGGGCGGTTGCGACACCCTGATCACCACCAAAGACAACAAACAGAATTCTCCCCAAACCACAAGCTATCACCGAACACAATAAATTCAAGTAATTGCTTCCAAATTCCAATTGATCCGTCAACTAGCTCCTTGCCGCAAATTCCAAATTCCCAAATTTTCTTCTCAACAAATACCACCAAATAATTCCAAAACAAATTCCAATAACCTCCCAGTGAACTTATCAATTTTCATACTGATAGCGGCCATTCGAAAAACCCTAACCAAATTAACAAAGAACGATGGACGAGCTACTAACCAAAATTAGCTCCTTCTGTTCCGAGCTCTTCTGCGCAGTCCAAACTGAACAAATTTAATTGGAATTAATAATTCCTCAACGCACAAACTTCCAAGATTCAAAATGTTCTTTTCCAATCACAAAAGGACCAAATTCCTTCAAGACAATTAATTACTGCTTCTCGGCAATTAATTTTCTTGCACCAAAATACAAACTCCACTCCAAAAGAAAGAGCCACAAATCAAAAATCAAAAATCAAAAATCAAATACGCAGAGAAGAAAGGAAAAATCCGCCAACCAGTAGCGTGATCCCAAAGGCGACGAAGACAATTGCAAATATTCCAACATCAACCGCGGCTCTAATACCACTTGTCAGAACAGAAGCGTGCAAACGATAATTTAGACCAACACGAACGAACACAAATTTAACGTGGTTCACTAACACAATGTGTGCTAGCTAATCCACGGGCAGGGGAGACAAATTTCACTAATTTGAGGAGAGTACAGGTTACAAACCAAACAAACTAACCCGATTGACCTTACTACAGACTAGGGTGATAAAGAGTATTTATAGAACTCTTCTCCTAATCCCAAATAGAAAACAAACACATTTTCCCAAACATACAAGGAAAAAGGTCAAACAAAGCCCAAACACAAACCTAAACAAAATAGGCCCAAAACACAAAACAAACCCAAATAAAATTCAAGTCATATCCTAACAGTTTCCATCATCGACTCATATATTATGTCTTTGGCATATAGATAGGAATGTGAGAGCAAAGTGTCTAGCGGAGGTGCGAAGGACGACTCATTGTGGTATAGATGCAGCCAAACCGACAGTGGATCATATCATGGCGTCTTGGCAACGTGTTGTATATGCATTGACAGTGGAAGACATGGATACTACCTTAGACAATTTCAGACGTAGTTGGGGAGTACAGTACCGACGTCTTTGGGGGTATATGGCAGCTAACTGGTTACCAGTTAGACACATGTGGGCTAAATGTTATACCAATCAAGTGCGGCATTTGGGTAACACAAGCTCTAATAGGGTTGAAGGTGCCCATTCCTCCTTCAAGAAGTGGCTTCAATCATCTATTGGCGCAGTCGACACGGTTAGTCTCCTAATAAATCTTCATTGATAGACACATAAGTTTTAGTAGTCTCATAATTGTTCTTCATTTTCTGTAGGTATTCAAGAAGAACGATGATTACATTGAGGCTAAACACCTTCAAATCAGGAAGCTTCTAGGGGATTCCCGACAAAAGAAGCTGCTCCGAGCGGATGGAAAACCATTTCGAGAGTTGAATACGAAAGTCACTCTAGAAGCTCTGAGGTTGATGTCGTTCGAGGTAGCAGTGGAAAACCATTCCAGATGGACACTGTGGATTTCGAGCTATATCACAAGCAGTTACTGGGGACCAAAGGAATTGGCCACAAATGAGACGCGATGTTGTAGAGGAGCTTGAATCCCGTCCTGAGCTTTATAGAGAGTACTATGATGGAATAGAAAATGGCATTCGACGTTGCAGGTGGGCATCAACAAGTGGCTGTGGACCTCCCAACTAGATGGATAATGTGGAACTCTTCGTCTTCGCCACCTTGCATTCATGGGCTATCGTTGTATACAGTCAAGGCGGTCGTTATACCGTGCTACCTATGACGGCCCCACCAGGAGTAACAAGACCGCGTGGGATCTTATCACTACATTTTATGGGGGATCATTGGGTGCGACTTGACTTTCGACATGGTCAAGTGCCCATGCCTCCAATTAATGGCCTTTGGCCTATTTTTCATGACCCTAGTGTCAATGGGTGGGATCAATTCTTCTTACATGAGCGTGCGCTTTATGATAGTTTGAACCCACGGGGATGACGATTGGAAGTATATTTACGAATTGTATCTCTCTATTGTTGAAACAATTAGTAATCTACCATGTTGATTAAGTATTTTAGCAATGCATTGAATGTAACTAAAGTAAAAAAACACAATCGTCTCAATTCAACTACAAACGATGACAAATAAAAAGCACAATAGTCTCAGTTCAACTACAAACGATGACAAATAAAAAACACAATCGTCTACTGAGGCGGCTGCCCTACCAACTGGTCGTACAACTCGTGAACCCCAGCTACCATATCATAGAACTTACCACCGTCCTCCTCCCACTTACTCCAGTTCCTCGTCAGCAACACAGGACCTAAACGATCCACAATCAGCTCTGTCAACTATAAATAGAAAACAATGTTAGAATAAATAACAAATGTCCTTTATATTTGAAAAAAAGCAAAAGAAAGTCATAACTAACCTGATGAACTAGTAGTGGTCGAGGCTGAGGCACCCCATCAGAGCTTGGGTGGGTGATCCATGGGTGTGATCTAGTCATAAACCAGTCAACGTACTCCTCCACGATCTCCGATGGGTGCTCGCACGGCCGAGAAGCAAAATTCAAATCTAGACGATGGGCTGCCACGTTATCCCACAACTGATTCACCCACGGATCCCAAAAGACTATGTAACTGTTGCCGGAAGCCGGACGGTACTGGTCATGTGGTACCATCATAGCATGGGGGATAATCTGTCGGTATCCAAACTGGCACAGACAACGTGCAGGATCGTATCCCTCGGCAATGTCAGAAAAGCGAATGGGGCCAATAAACAAGGAGCGAGGTATATCTGTGTGGCCATCTCGTCCGTACGGAATCCAGGTCACATCATCAGCTGAAAGCTGATCCAACAACTATCGATAACGTGCTCTCCTCTGTCTAGCATCATCCCAACCTGGCAAACGGGGAGAAATCCACGAGGAAGCACGAGGTGCATCCGGAGACTCCGGCAGCTGGCTCGGACGGAATAGAGGAAAGTACTCATATATCCAAGCCTGAAGCATGGTCAAACAACCACAAAGACCCTTACTACCCGCTCGTGTGGCCACTCCCAACTGTCTGTAGAGATAGGCTAGTGCACCAGCTCCCCAACCGTAATCAGTCAATCGTCGATGATCCTTCAGAAACAAGTTGATCGTAGGACGAAGGCGATCACGACTCTTATCCACAAAAGCGTGGATCCCAGTAACACAAATAGGTAACACTGCACCTCCATCTCCTTAATCTTCAGCTCTCCCCCACGCACCAACAATCCCTCTGCATGCATAGCACCATTATCGTACCACTTTGACTTCCACTTACCACCAACATGAGCATCCACCGAAAGTCGAACTAGACCACCCATGTCTGACTTAAGAATATCCGGCGCCGCCTCATCTCCCATCAGCTCTCCATCAACTGGAATACGAAGAATGTGATGCACATCGTGTAGAAGGATCGAAATCTCTCCAAACGGCATGTGGAAGGTGTTTGTGTCCGGCTGCCACCTCTCCACAAATGCCGACAGTACAGCCATGTCTAAATTCTGCATCATGCACCCTGTCAAGTGAGACAATCCTGTGGCTTCAACCATCTCCTTGGAACCCTCTGCACTCCACTTATATCGCCTCAAAGTCTCTACAGCTTTCGGCCTATGGAAGCCGTCCAACACTCCACGGTCCTGCTCAGGGGAAGTCCACAGTATAAAGCCAATGTGACCTCAAAAGCTAGGGATCACATCGGGAATCATTGGTCCACCTGAACACATTGGAGACTCGGATGTAAGAAACCACGACATATCTTTCCTCGTGGTCTTCCTCTTCCTATTTCAATCTCCGCCTTCCTCGCTACTAGGTCTGGACGCATAGCGTCCATCGGGCCCACGAAAGTGTGAGGAGGCAGTAGAAGATATCCCGACCCGCGCCGTCTTCCCCACGCCTAAATCAGCTTGAGGTGGGGCATCCCCAACCTCATCATCACCAGCAGCATCACCAACATCATCACCAGCATCTGGGGCATTCCCAATCTCAGCATCACCTTCATCATCATCATCCTCGTCAATGGAATCACTCCAATTAGCCTGCCATACCGGTGCGCTCTCTGGTGTAGGAGTACTGGTAGTACCTTGACTAAGAGACAACTGCCCCACAGTAGGGTGGCCGTCAGGACGCACTACATCCGCCTTCTTCTTCTTCCTTCTAACCTTAGGTGGATTTTTTTCTTCATTTTCCTTCCTACTAGTCGCTGTAAGTCTACACCGACGACCTTCCATTCTCTCCTTATTTCTCGCCTTAATCATATCCGATTTACCCATTCCATGTCCAGACATCTTCCAAAAAAAGTTTGAATTATTAATAATGGAGTACATAAAGTAATTAATTTAAGATTTTCATAATCAAAATTATAAAACTAATAATTTGAACATTTATGTTACGTTCTATGTAATAATTATTTACTTTTAAGTATATAAACGAATTATTAATAATTAAGTAGATAAACAAATTACTTTGAAATTTTGATTATTAAAATGATAAAAATACATTTTTAATTTTTTTATATTGTTCTTTAAATTTGTTATCATTAATTAGCATTTATCGAATACGTTTTTAAAAATTTTATATCATTATTGAAAAAATATATAACTAAATTATTTTTATTAACTATATTTTTTTAATAATTTTTATTATTATTAAAATTTATCAAATCATAAAAACACAGAATATTAAAATAAAATAGAATATTAAAAAAAACAAGAATAAAAAAAACTGTCTGACCGCGATCAGACCCTTCTTTTCGGTCGACCTCAGTTAGGATTAGGTCGACCTCATTTAGTATCAGGTCGACCTCATTTAGGATCAGGTCGACCTCATCTGTTGTTTCCGTGTAAAAACAGTTTCATGGTGTCTACTTTGGAGATTCATATCATACAATTGGCTATATGGAAATTGAAGATTAATGGCTTGTTTTGAAGCTGGAGTGTCCCTCTACATATTGAAGTGATTGAGAGCTCGATAGGAAGTCTAGAATACTATTTTTGAACCTGATCAAAAGGCTATGCCAAAACTGGGAAACTGCCTGAAAATGGCTAAGTCTTGAAACGTGTTTGGGAAACTGCCTGAAAATGGCTAAGTCTTGAAAAGCGTTGAAGTCATTTCGGGTCATGAGCGTTCTCAGAAACAATATCAAACATGCTTCATAAATTTTTAAAGAACACAAATTTTACGTATGTGCGACAATAGTTTGTCTAGCACATATCAATTAGCAAATGCTTAACTTCTTCCATGCTAATGAAAAGAAATACAAATTGCACAAATTGTCAAAAAACAATGACGAAAGTAATACTACTACTATAAACAAATGATGTTTGATTATCTTAACACTCCAAACTTGTCTTTCAAATCCTAATAAATTTTTTTAAACATCTCACCAAAGTATGAGTGATTTTATCATTTTGAGAGTGACATATGCAATGAAACGGGTCTAGTAGGTCAGCCCACAAACCAACCCAACCCGACCCAAAAACTACGGGTTAATCGGGTTCGGATCATTCGGGTTTCGGGTTATAAAAACCTCAACCCATTCTCTATTTTTCGGGCGGGTTCGGGTCGGGTCAACGAGTCGGGTCCTCATTTGCTAGGTCTACATTTAACGGTTAATTTTGAGAGTTGACTGCCATATCAGACAAAGTTAACAAAGGTGGACGGAGAGTGACCAAACTTGAATTGTTTTACTAAATCTAGTGACTATGAATGGATTTAAATATTTAGAGTGATTAAACATGAACGTATTTCATAATCCCAGTGACCAACCATGCAATTAACTTGTTTATTTATTATTTATTTAATTATTTCTCTCACGTCTTTTCAGTTCTCCCCTTTTATTTTGCTATTTTCCTTTATTATTTTATGTCTCTCTCTTTCTTTTTTCTCTCTTCTCAAAGAAGAATTCTTCTGCACCGCTACCTAGGGTGGGCAATAGATGGGTTGGATAGATTTTTGTTTCAAATTAACTCACCCGCTTACTAGTGAGTTGGAATAATTGTGACTCGCTATCCACCTACACTCTTTTGTAGGTCGGGTTTGGTGGGTGGCGGATGGATGCAATTGGGTCGTGGGTTAACCCGCAAAATAATTCTCCAACTAGCCATTAAGAAATTTTACTAACAATTATAATAATTTCATTGTAGATTAATAAGGCGGTATAAATTTAAATACTTCTCACTTTGTCTCAAGTGAATCCATGTAGTATTTACATAAAATTTACTACACTATGAACCAATTGTGTAGAGAAAACTTACGCATTTTATGATTTCGATACAGTTAATAATTTATAGTTTTTATACCAATATTTAATCGATATTAACAATAATTTGTATTCCAATATTCCATATCTAATGGATATTACACGACGCAATAACCAATAATAGTAATCAAAACTATTCTTTATTCTCACCTTTAGAATTCTATGGTCAAACTGTAGTGTAGTTCAGAAATATTATGAATATTTGATATTATAAGAAACGATATTTTTTAATGTGAAAATAGGATGCGGGTCATTCGGATGACCCGCAATCCACCCACCACCCACCCACATAAGTGCGGGTGAGAGATTTATCAATCCACAATCCACCCACATCAATCACTCACTCAGTGGCGGATCCAGGGGGTGGCCACCCTAGACCCCGGCCCAGCCCTCCTCCGGATCCGGCATTAGTGTAGTCCTTATGAATTTTTCGATATCAAACATTTGGCTCAGTGTTATTTTATAATAAGATTGGGTATAACTAGGAAAATAATTTAAATTAACATTTTCCAATCATTATTCTATTTAGACTAGAAATTATAGCCCCAAAGATTATCGGTCTAAGAAAATAATGAAATCTAAAATTCTAAAAGTCTAAAAAGTAAAAGACTAGAAGAAATATGAGGTTTTTCCCTTGAAAATTTACTAAGGTAGTTGGTGAATCTAGGGATGGACACACAATGCACGATTGATTTGTCTAGTTTCGTTTCAACAGCTACTACAGGGAGAACTTTTTCAAAAATGAAACATATGTAAAAACTTAATTGCGCAATAAAATGAGCGATGAATTTCTCGCTGATTGCTCGAGTATTTTATTTGAAACAATTTATACTATTGGTATGGATGTTGACTCCATTATTGTTGCATTCGCTAAATTAAAATACGATAGTGTACAATTTATATTGCAAAAAAAAAATCATTATATTTGTTTACGGTTTTAATTTTGTAATGAAATGCGGCCCAATGCTCTTCTGTGTTCTGGATCCGCCGCTGCACTCACTACTTGCGGGTAGAGTTATTTGTTGATGGATCGATATCAATCCGCGAATTAATCACCAATGTGCACACTCTACCGCTACCCGAGCCGCGGCCGGCATTGAATTTTATCTTCCGGTTGCGAATCAATGGTAGGCAAGACAGTTGGATCACCCCCTGAAATTGAACACATGAACTTATGATGGAGGATGTCGATTGAATTTGACTGGGAACCTTCAAATTAAACGATGACAGAGGGCGAACTTTCTATGTTGCATATGTTGCAGCAGACTCGAATTTCTGGTGGTTTCTTCTGCTCCCTCGGGTTTCTTCTCCAAAAACCCCAGTTCTAACTCGATTTTGCTAGTTCCCATAAGTTGCAGTGGTTGAACTGTAGAGACAGCTGGAGAACCCGCAATTAATACACAACAATTAATCACTGGTCTTCCCAACCATATTCACCAATCACTACTGCTGCCAGTTCTTTAGATCCAGCAACTGGCAATCACTTCCAAGTCTTATCTTCTCTTTTATTTCTTCCTATACCTACACATCTGTACATCATGTGCTAGCTATTATGATTTACTCATCTGTTCTTCTTCTGCTGTATAAATATAGGATCAATCACTTGTAATAAGATTAAGAGAGAAACAGTCCATTCAATAGAAATCAGTCTATACAGATTTCTACATGGTATCAGAGCTCTTGTGAATTGGGGCTGGCCCAGCTTTGTGGCAGAGTACGATCGGCCCACCCTTTTTTACCATTTAAAGTAGGCATGCGGTCCAAATCTATTTTAGGATTTTAAAACCCAAAACGGCCCGATTTGGTTGAGAAACCCCATACCCCTTCCTAGGAGAATCCGCCGCTGACTGCTCCTCCATGACTAGAGGTGGCAATTAGGATCCAAATCCATGAATCCAATCCAATCCATCCACCAAATTATCCAATTAATCCAATCCATTTAAATCCAATCCATTTGATCCAAATCCAATTGGATTTGTGGATTCATGGATCAATCCATGATCCAAATGACAAATTACGATTTGGTACCTGTATTTTTTATGTTTTACATTTTGGTACCTAAAATTTATATTTTTATACGAAAAAATCATTGGAAAATTACATTTTGGTACCTAAAATTTTTCATTATGACATTTTAGTACCTAAACTTTTCAAAATTTACATTTTGGTCCATGCCTTGGATGTCATTTGGATTCATGGATCAATCCACCAATCCATTTTATCCAATCCATTGGATCCAATCCATTTGATCCATGGATCCACCAATCCAATCCACGAATCCGATCCAATTGCCACCTCTATCCATGACCAACTTCCTTTTTTTTTTTTTTTTTTTTTTGCATCGGCCACTTTTCCCTTTCTCAATTCTCAGACGAACTTTCCTTTCTCTCCTTTTCTTCTCTGTCGTTCCATTTCTTCCTCTGCACTCCCGCAGCAGCAACAACAACACAGATCGGCGGCGGCAGGAAATCTACGGCAGATGGCGGGTGGAGACTGACGACGAGTGCAGATCGTGTTTGATTCGGAGGAGCAGTAGTGGACGATTGGAGAGGAGCTGATTACGGCGGCGATGGTGAGGGAAGAGGCAGCGGACCAACTCCAGCGGATCTGTCTTTTCCGGGCAGTGAGAGCAGATGACGGCGGTGAACTTCGCTGCTCTGCTTCTTTTCTTCGAGCAACAGCGGCGGCGCGATGGCGACCCCGCGGCGTTTTCTAAAATCCTGCAAAACTCTTTTCCCTTCTCATTCCTTTTCTTGAGTGAAATTCACGATGAGTGACCTACAAACCTCAGCTCTCAAGAATGAGCAAAATAGAGAGGAGAGTTCCATCGTGAAAACCATGAAAAGAGAGGAGGCAGCTTCCGCTTACAGTCTGCATAATTCAGACAATCCTGGTCAAATGTTTGTAAGTGATCCACTCACCGATCAAAACTACGGAGAATGGGTCAGCGACATGACCAACTCTCTTTTGGCAAAGCACAAAATGGGCTTTGTCGATGGCAGCATACAAAAAGCAGCAGAGGGGGATGAATACCTCGGAGCTTGGATCCAGTGTGACGCCATGGTAAAAGGGTGGCTCAAGACCGCCATGGACAAAGAGGTGAGAACCAGTGTTCGATACGCGAAAACAGCCCGCGAGATATGGGTTGATCTTCAAGAGCGATTCGGAAAGGGAAGTGCACCTCCTGCCTATGAGTTGAGGCGAGCCATCTCACTCCTGCAGCAAGAGAAACTTACAGTTTCAGCCTACTATACGAAGCTAAGAGGGCTGTGGGAGGAATCCAACTCTATCACACCACAACCAACATGTGTTTGCAATCGCTGCACATGTGGTCTTGAAAAGCGGGTGAGGGAGATAAGTGAAAATGCAAGGGTCTTCGACTTCCTAATGGGACTTGCTGATGTATTTTCTACTGTGAGATCTCAAGCACTCAACGTTAAGCCCACTCCAACACTTGGAGAGGTTTATCACATGGTAGCTGAGGATGAACAGCAAAGAAACATCTCAGCAAGCAGGAAATTAATGGTGGAGGCAGCAGCTTACCAAGTAAATGCAATCACAAGAGACGGTGGTGAACGCCGCAATGATGGGAAAGAACAGCTAAAGTGCACTCACTGCAACAAGCTCGGACACACCAAAGAACGATGTTATGAGCTGATAGGCTACCCACCAAAGGGAGGGAGGCCAGGATATAAAGGAAATCGTCTCAAATATGATCACAAGAGTGGCCCCAAGGCTGCCCATGTCACTGAAGTAGAAGGCAGCCCAATTCCTGGACTATCAGTGGACCAATATCATCAACTTGTGCGATTTCTGAGCGGTGGGAGTTCATCAAAGGCTTCTTCATCCGGAGAACCTGCAGTGAACATGGCTGGTAAGAAATTCTTAGACCAAGAATGGATTATAGACTCCGGGTGCAATGAACATATCACTAACAATGCTGATATTATGGAAAGTAGTGGTGATTCTCATACTTATATGCCCGTGACTATTCCTAATGGCGATAAGATACCAGTTCAGCAAATAGGAAATGTTCATCTACCTAATGGGATGCAGTTAAGCCGTGTGCTAAGCATACCCAACTTCAAGTGCAGCCTATTATCAGTGAGTAAGCTTACCCGCGATTACGACGTCGCCTTGATATTCTTGAGTGATTTTTGTGTAATCCAGGACTTACACTCGAAGAAGCTGATTGGAATGGGTAAGTTGAAAGATGGTTTGTACTATCTAAACCTCTTTGTCGCAAAACATCAGGCTTTGGCAGTACACGGCAGCAACATAAATGAGTCGGAACTTTGGCACTCTCGGCTCGGGCACCCCTCTGAAAAGAAGATGCAGTTTTTCAACACTTCAATAAAAAATAAGTGTAAAATCTCACATTGTGATGCTTGTTTACGAGCTAAACAAGCACGATTGCCTTTTCCTAATAGTTCAATAAAGACAACTTCATGTTTTGAACTTTTACATGTTGATATTTGGGGCGGTTATAGGTCGGCTTCCTTAAGCGGAGCACGATATTTCCTCACTATTGTTGATGATTTCAGCAGAACAATATGGGTATACCTCTTACGTTACAAGTCAGAAGTTGAGCGATACTTACTCATGTTTTGTCGGATGATCAAGACGCAATTCCACAAAAGCATTGCTCGTATCCGTGCAGACAATGGGCTTGAATTTCAAACGCAGGCATTGCAACAATTCTACGAGGAGAATGGAATCCTGCTCCAGACTAGTTGCACAGATACTCCACAACAAAATGGAGTTGTTGAGAGGTAGCACCGCCATCTACTCGAAACAGCTCGAGCATTGAGATTTCAAGCAAATTTGCCAATCGACTACTGGGGAGAATGCATCCTCACAGCCACTTACCTGCTCAATCGAATGCCCTCCAGAGCCATTCATAACAAATCGCCGTATGAAATTCTTTTCGGCAAATCACCACCACTTGAGCACCTCAAAGTCTTCGGATGCCTGGCATACGCTAGGGATAATCACAAGAACATTGAGAAATTTGCAGAAAGGGGGAGACCAGCTGTGTTCCTTGGATATCCAGCCAACCAGAAGGGTTACAGATTGCTCGATCTTTCCACTAGCAGAATCTACATCTCTCGTGATGTTGTTTTCGTCGAACAGACATTTCCATTCAAAAATCCATCAAACTCAAAGTTTGATTCTCAATTGATGCCTTCAACTGGAAGCTCTTCGTCTCCAGAGTACTCAGACACAGTGACGGCACGTGCCACTCCACCAGCGGCTCCGTCATCTTCTCACGCGGCGCCGGCTGCACCACCAATTTTGGCGGCCTCTCCCAACGGCAACAACGAGACGCGACCGAGTCCATCAGTCACGGCGCCATCCTCCCCAGCAGATTTTCCCATAGCCGATGCTGCGGAACCAGAGGCTGCCGCACAAAACTCGTCGGAATCCTCTCTTATTCGAGTAACAGAGGAACAAGAAGGGAAAGCGAGCTCCCCATGTGAGATAGATGGACTCCCTGCAAGTGGGCCTGAAGGTGGGAGCCATGAGCCACATTTTAGATCAGCAATTTATGAAACTCCAATTGATGATGGGTCACATTTGGAGAGCCCAACGGATGAAATAGAAGACCCACAAGCAGGCCATGGAGTTAATTCGTTACCTTCTCCACCAATTCGACACAGTAATCGGATTTCCAAGCTGCCTGCTCATTTCGATGGATATGAAGTGGACCACCCTAAAACTCGGTCAACTCGCCATCCTCTTTCTAATTATATCGCATATAATTGTTTCTCATCACAACATCGATCTTTTTTGGCGTCCATCACAGCTCATACGGAACCAAAATTCTTCCATGAAGCGGTTCGTAATTATCTTTGGCGAGAGGCCATGCAAAAGGAAATTATAGCTCTGGAAGAAAATGGTACTTGGGTTCTTACATATCTACCTCCGGGTAAACGTGTCATCGACTGTAAATGGGTTTACAAGATCAAGTATAAGCCCGATGGCACCATTGAACGATACAAGGCTCGTTTGGTTGCAAAAGGGTATACACAAGTCGAAGGTATTGACTTTCATGATACTTTTGCTCCTGTTGCCAAACTCGTTACAGTTCGTTGTCTATTAGCTATTTCAGCGGCTCGTAATTGGCTCGTTCATCAACTTGACGTGAACAATGCCTTTTTACATGGAGATCTCGACGAAGAAGTGTATATGAAAATTCCACAAGGTTTTCGTCGTACAGGTGATAATCGTGTGTGTAAGCTTCAAAAATCTCTTTATGGACTTCGGCAGGCTTCACGAAATTGGTACACAAAATTTACTTCTGCTCTTCTTTCCATGGGATTTGTATTGTCCCGAGCCGATCACTCTATGTTCATCTATCGTACCTCGTCAAGTTTTGTCGTAGCTCTCATTTATGTTGACGATGTCCTTCTTGCCGGTGATGATGCCCAATTCATTGAGCATGTCAAAGGTACTCTCCATCAACGTTTTAGCATCAAGAATCTTGGTCCCTTGAAGTATTTTCTTGGTATTGAAGTGGCTCGTTCTAATAATGGGATTGTACTCTCTCAAAGGAAGTATACTCTCGATATTTTACAAGAGGTTGGGTTATGTGGTGCACGACCTAGCTCCTTCCCCATTGAGCAAAATCATTGTTTAACTCGTTCCACTTCTGAGGATGTTGTCTCTCCTCAAGATGCAGCTTCTTATCGTCGACTGGTTGGTCGTCTTCTATACTTGACCGTCACACGTCCTGATATTACTTATGCTGTCAATATATTGAGCCAGTTTGTCCACTCTCCAGGATCAAAACACATCTCTGCTGCACATCGTGTTCTACGTTATCTTAAACGGGCTCCCGGTCAGGGCATCTTTTTACCATCTAACGGATCACTTGAACTAACTGCCTTTTGTGATTCTGATTGGGGTGGTTGTCCCCTTACTCGCAGATCCACTACTGGTTACTTTATCACCCTTGGTGCAGCACCCATTTCCTGGCGCACCAAGAAGCAAAGTGTCGTCGCTCGCTCCTCTGCCGAAGCCGAGTATCGCGCCATGGCCAGCACTACTAGTGAACTTCTCTGGCTTCGATGGTTGTTACGTGAACTTGGGGCACCTCAACCTCAACCTAGCATTCTCTATTGTGATAATCAAGCTGCTCTTCACATTGCAGCTAATCCAGTATTTCATGAACGCACGAAACACGTCGAAATGGATTGTTATTATGTTCGTGAGCGTGTACTCTCCCGTGATAACCTTCCAAACAAAATACCAACTCATGATCAATTAGCAGACATTTTTACCAAGGGTCTCGGTGGGGATCGATTCCAATTTCTTCTTTCCAAGTTGGGCACTCGAGATCTTCATGCTCCAACTTGAGGGGGAGTGTAGAGACAGCTGGAGAACCCGCAATTAATACACAACAATTAATCACTGGTCTTCCCAACCATATTCACCAATCACTACTGCTGCCAGTTCTTTGGATCCAGCAACTGGCAATCACTTCCAAGTCTTATCTTCTCTTTTATTTCTTCCCATACCTACACATCTGTACATCATGTGCTAGCTATTATGATTTACTCATCTGTTCTTCTTCTCCTGTATAAATATAGGATCAATCACTTGTAATAAGATTAAGAGAGAAACAGTCCATTCAATAGAAATCAGTCTATACAGATTTCTGCTCCCTCGGGTTTCTTCTCCAAAAACCCCAGTTCTAACTCGATTTTGCTAGTTCCCATAAGTTGCAGTGGTTGAACTGGTATGAAATCGCTTTAAGATCCTCATCTATGTTACTCTCTCATCTTCTCTGGTACCTTCTTGAAATGCAGCGACAATTTGTTTTTAATATGTTTGTTTCAATCTTAATGCATGTCAATGGTTGGTGTCGTTTGAGTATATTTTCTTTTGATCATCTTTTGTGATTCAGAAGCCCACCAATTTCCATGTCTCCTTGAAGTAGATCAGTGGTGGTTGGAGATCTAGAGATGGTTTGTATATGCTAGATTTGTAGAGAGCGGAAGGTCAGAGTAAGATTCCTGCCTGATCTGGGCAGCGATGAACGCAATTGAAGCGGCTGTGGGAGGAGTGGGAGAAGTGGTGGTGGCCGGTGGGCGGAAGAGATGGTGACAAAAGTTAACAGTGTCTGACCCCAACATCGGACTGAAAGTAGGGTGGTATTCGGTCTGTAACCGGTTTACCGGTTTTCGGTATACTAAGTGTGGGCAAGTGGGAATCGATTATCGATACCGGTTTGTAACCGGTATACCGGTTACCGAATTATCGGTAAACGGTTATAAACCGGTTTTACCGACTTACCATAAAGAGTAGTTGCGGACGGTTTTTCGGTTCGGTTTACCGGAAAATTACCGAACCGAATTTCTGGGCAATAGAGTGATGTTGTAATATTTTGATTTTTATGAGTTTTTTCTTCATTTTTGTAATTAATAAATTATTATTAACTCTTATTTATAATATTTTTTAGGCCTATACTTACTTACTTTCATTCATATATGTAATATTTGTGAATAATGAAGTATATGTTATTAGTTAATGCCTTAACTTGTCCGGTATCGGTATTACCGAATTACCGTCAGTATTTATCGATACTGGGGCCGGTAAACCGAGCTTCCCTATTTGACCCTCGGCTGCCAATACCGCCGGTAGCCGATACCGGCGGTAAACGGTAATACCGCCGGTTACCGGTTCGATAAAACGGTAAACCGTTTACCGACTCACCGTTTATCACCCCTAGTCTAAAAGTGTTAGAATGGCAAATATGTAATATGTAGTGAAGTTGTAGCTAGGGGTATTTACAGTTGTTTGGACAGGTGTCAGCGCTATAGCTCTTCTCATAGCAAAAACTTGGCTTTTATATATAGGTACAATATTCCATAGGTTGCCAATCCCAGCACACCTCACCATTTTGTACGGGTAATATGAACTTGTTAGGAAATTAGTCCCAATAATTTGAGTTGTTGGATAACAGGAAATATTAAGAGATCGTCAAGATTCAAATTGGCGAATATGAATGTCAAAGTGGATCGAAAAGGTTCAGAGGAATTTATCATCATCATCAAGTTTAGTTTATTGTCAATGTTTAGACTTTAGTTTGAGTTGTGTTTGTTTTATGTTAATTGTTCTCCAAAAGTAAACTAGTACGATTTGTTTTATAGTGCTAAGGTTGAGTATTTAAACCCAACTATAAAAGAGAAACACTTAAGAGTTTTAGAGTTTCATTTTCCACAACTCAATTTTGTTCTTATGGTATCAAAGCCTCCAGATATTAGAGAACCCTAAAAACTTTCTGCCCACAAAAATAAGGACTATATCCAAATATGAAATTTTCACATCATAAATCTTAAAAAAAAAGTCACTTTTTCTTCATTGCAGTCCATTTCTTCTTCCTCCCCAATCCATCTACCTCTAACCCAGCAAATCATTTCTTCCATCATTCGAACCCGACCAGTTTCACCTTCGTCAATTCGTTTCCCATATTCCCCAAAGTTTCCCAGATCGAGAAATCCCTTCTTTCATCGATTTCCGTTGATCTCTCTTGTACCTATACTTTTTGTACAAATTCTTGTATGGTACAACTTGAACTTGTACCTTTATGTGATGGTACAACTTCAAGTTGTAAAGTTGTACCATAACATAATGTTACAAATTGTTTTATGGTACAACCTAAACTTATACATTTAATGTTATGGTACAACTTTAAATTGTACATTAAAGCACCAATGCTATATAGCATAGTAGAAGTGCTCCATGAAAACCCCCAAATCCCATTTCACAGAACCCAAAACCCAACTCGATTTCCTGAAACCAAAAAGCCCGCAGCTACATCACCGCCTCCACTATGCAACTTTTCCTTCGCTCCATCTCAGTCGACGGCGAGAGAAACCCAAGGGTGCAGATGCAGGGCCGGCTCTAAACATTTAGAGGCCATGTTCCGTAAAAAATTTGTGGCCCAAAATATTTTTCAAGAAATCCCATAAATTAAAATTAGGGTAAATACAATATATTATCCATAACTATTAAGTAGCGGGGAATTATAGCCACAACTATCGAAATACAAATTATTAGTCATAACTATTGTTGTGGGTCAAGATTTGGCTAACAGCCAGTTACTGTTTTCAAATTTTTAACGTAGAAGGCCATGTGAGCATCGTAAAAAATATGATATGATGACTGCCACGTGGGAGCCAGCTCACCATCGTAAAAGCTTAGTCATCATTACTAACAGAAGTGTTAACGAAAACTTAACGATTGGCTAATAATTTGTATTTCGATAGTTGTGGCTATAATTCCCCGCTACTTAATAGTTATGGCTAATATATTGTATTTGCCCTTAAAATTATTACATCAATTAATAAATAAACTTATTACATCGTCATTTGAAAAATAACATCCTTCTAGCATTGTTTGAAATAAAGTTATCTATAAGTTCTTCAATCTTCGTATTCTCAAGGAGATCATTCTCAATCGCTATCATAGCTAATCCATTAAGCCTTTCTTGTGTCATTGTAGAACACAAATAGGATTTCAACAACATCAACTTAGAAAAACTTCTCTCTGCAGTAGCAACAGTCACATGAACAGTTAATAAGATTCTATATACTATAATGACGTTAGGAAAACAATCAACAGGTTTCAAAATGTCGATTGGTTGTGAAATTTCCTTAGGTAAATTTTTTTGTAATAACTTAAGCTCACTATATAAATCATTACCATCAATATAAGATTTCTCATTATTTTGAAGTAATTTTTCAATATGCATGCACGAATATTTTAGAGATGTCTCATTCAAAGAATACAACTTCTTAGAGCTAAGCAAGAAACCAAACATAGATTCAAAATTCTTATATTGCTCAAATCTTTTGATAAGTGAGGAAATTGCTTGATTCACCACGTATAGAAAATAACTCACTCTAAAAGACTCTTCTCTAGATAACGATCATTAGTAGATGTATTATCTGGAACCTCATCGAAATGTCTTTTTCTCTTAATCTCACTCCTTTGAGTGAAAACATGATCAACTTCCAACATGGTAGAAATTTCCTTCGATTGTTCTAAAGCATTTTGAAAACCATTTTCTCTATATCTTTCAAAAAAAGAAATCAACCCCTTTACTTTCTAAGTGGCACCATTAATAAGCATATCCTTAGATTGCAAATGTTTACTAAGCGAATTGACAACGTGCAGTATGTCATACCAAATGACTAATGACACAATAAATTCAAAATCACCAAGTTCATTTGTTGCCAAAGATTTAGCTTCACCACTTATTTTTGAATCCTTATCAACATCGGCCACTTGAAGTAAAACTTCCCTCACTTCTAACATTTGAAATCTAATAGCTTTTACACTTTCAACGCGACTCTCCCAACGAGTCGATGATAATGGTTTCAAAGTTAGATTTTTCACATTATCTTTCAAAATCTTCCATCTTTTATTGGAATTTTCAAAAATTGTATATATCCGTGGAATAATTCCCGAAAATCTCTAGCTTTACTACAACAATTGGCCATGTCACACAATGTCAAATTCAAACTATCAGAAGCACATGATGTATGAAATGCTCTAGAATTTATATCTAATAGCCTTCGTTGTATACCACTATGCTCCCCTTTCATGTTTGATCCATTATCATATGATTTCCCTCTAATGTTATCAATATCAAGATCAATAGAATTTACTTCATTTTTAAAAACCTCAAATAGTCGTAGACCAATGGTATCATTCACATCCAAAAACCCAAAAAAAAAAAAAACTCCTCAGTAGAGATAGAATTAGAAGAGAAATCTACATACCTTAATATCATAGACATTTGCTCTTGATGACTTATATCGGGAGTACAATCAAGAATAACAGAAAAATACTTCGCTTGTTTAATTTTTCTAACAATTTCATATTTAATTATAGAGGCAAGCAAAAGTATAATTTCATTTTGAATTGTATGACCAAGATAATGATGATGAATCTTCTCATCACTAGTACGATGAACATGCTCTTGCGTAATAGGATCAAACTCATCCAACATTTCAACCAAGCCTAAGAAATTTCCATTATTCTTTTGGTATAATTTTTCTTTACTACCACGAAATGCAAGATTTTGTTTAGCAAGAAACTTCATCATTGAAATAATTTTCAACAAGACTTTTCTCCAATTATCTCTTTCTTTCTCAATTTGTTTTTGAGCTACATTATTTATTGTTTGGTGGTTTTGGAGTCTCAAACGCAAATCATACCAAGTATGGAGAATGTGGAGGTTCCTGACCAACCAGGCATGGAGAATGTGGAGGAGCTGGTTGATGAAGAGGATCAGGAGCCCATAGATATTACATTGTATGCTAGAACACATAAGAGGAATGATGGAAGCTGGACGAGTGAGGAACCTAAGACAAATTATGTAAGTTGGATAGCTGATGCACTAAGATCTATTCTAGAGTAATTAAAGAACCACTAACTTTTGTAACCAAATGGTTTTCATGTAGGAGGAGATGCAAGCTATTCATGCCCAGGCAAAGGCAGATGGGAAAACATTGTCGGGTCGCGAGATTGTTGAGATGGTGCTGAAGAAGAAAGTGAAATATGGACCCAAGGAAACAACCCGTACAGCTCGAGAGATATAGCTGGAAGCAGAGAGAGCTGAATCGGAAAAAAGAACTAAGGAGTTTGAAGAAAAGATACAAGGTCAAGAAGAGAAGATAATGATTCAAGAAGAGAAGATTCAAAACCAAGAGGAGAAGTTACAGATGCAAGATGTGGAAATGTGAAAGCGGAAAGATTCACAAGATAAGCTTCAGAAGCAGATGGAGTCTTTTGCTGCAAAACTCAATGGGGAAATGAGTATGGAAAGTCGTAGTACAGCGGGTAACTATTCTTTACTGTCAATGTCGGCTAAGAACTTAGATGAACTACCTGCAGTACTTTTAGGTAAGCACGTATGATTGTCATTACAAGCTAAGTTAATTAGTAGAGTAAGTAATTAATGACTGTGTTTTTGTCATTGTCTTCTTGCAGGCGTCGATGATTTCAAGATGGAATCTGTAAACCTTTTGGGGGATTGGACGTTTGAAGCAGCAGTATGCAACTTTTGTGGATGCTGAAGTTAGAAGTATAGCTAGGTAGCCATTTTGAACAACATAGAATCAGCAGCTAGCCATTTTGTGGAAGCCGACGTTAGAAGTACAAGCTAGCTAGCCATTTTGAACTTATGAATGATCTAAAACGTATGCTAGTTAGAATTCTATGAACTTATGAATGATCTAAAACCTATGCTTGTTAGAATTCTATATTGGAATGATGTTACTGATCTTTTTAATGGTTGAATGCCACTTTGGCAAACATATTATTGTTAAACTTTACAATATTGTCTAGTTATGCAGTATCAGGTTTGATAAAAATACTTGGTCACAGCTGTTGCATTTGACTATTGTGTTTTGTCAAAATACCAGGATCCTGTCGAAGAGATTTTGTC